CGAACACACATCCCCGGGGTGATAATTTGGTGACGTGAGCACCGGGATACCAACGCCCGCAGTTGCTTCGTGCATATATGCAGAAACGATCGACAAATACCGTTGGGGGATAATGCTTTTTTGAAAATTAAAAGAAACCTGAAGTCTCATGGCCAACAAACCACTATTCACATGTATCCGATCTATTAGTGGGGCCTCAGCTTCATCGCTCAGTACGACTCCTAATCCAAGCTCAAACGGTGGGCGCGGTTAATCGTCCTCCCATATGCGTAAGAAACACCTCCAGGAAAGATCCGGTGCACCTAGGTGTGTGATGAACAGCAGACAGAGTGGATCCCACAACCAAAGCACATGGACGTCCAGTGGTGAACCATATAAAACCCCGCTAGGTAAGGCGTGGTAGTGAACCGCACGGCAGACAAGCTGCTTACCACTAACGCTGCATGGCGCTGCTGAGGTTCGAACCTCGGACCATAGCGTCCAAAGCACGATTGTCACAGCGACTAAACCAGTGCAACACCACCCAAATCTAATACTTAAAAGGTACCTCCTATTTAAAGACTACATCAACTTCCAAAAAGGTTCATCGCACATGCGAAGTTCGGAAAAAAATCGGATCTAAAACCAGCAGATAAGCCAAAACGGCGGCCAGTATACCCAGAGTGATTACTCCTTCACAAATCTAACGACTCAGACGCCAACTCGAATCAAACACCGATAATGGAGCATCAACAGACTGGACTATTTTCTGACCTCTAACTCTAGACCGTCCAGGCATGATTAGACCTTTGGCTTAACAAAAGCCATCCTGTGGAGCTTGTTGTGTAGTACAAGACGAAGCCATCACATCACGTCGAGGTTCAATCTCGTGGTGATGGTTATAGCGATAGTTGAGGCGATTGGGCAAATTGAGCATCAATGACGGGCTCAAGTGTAATTCGCAAACATCACAGAGTACATTGAGGTAAATTAGAAAATGGCTAAAAACAGACTTTTGTAGTAACTTCCACTGCATAAACACCTGTTTCTTGCAAATTTTAAAGTTATTCCCTTCGAGTTTTGGCACGCGGTGTATCGCTAAAAACTAATGTACGTCCTTTATCGCATGGACTGCCAATTTCTATGAGGACAACCCACCTCGTCAGGACGTCCTGCTCAAAAAGAACAATTTCAATGTAGCTTTCAGTATGTCAGAGATCAGCAGATTCAACTACCGTGCCAACCTCAAACACAAAAAGCAAATTCAATGACAAATAAAGAGACAATTAGGGAGAAAAATACACTGACCAGAAACGATTCCACTTACAATGCATCATTATCATCACAATCAGGCCTTCAAATGTATTAATTTGGCGGTTGGAATTTCTGAACCAAGCGGATGGAATGTGTTAAGGAGGCAAGCAATGCTGGGGTTGCGTACTTCTTCGTCGGGTTTAGTTTTTGAAATATTCAGTAAATTCTACCTGTTTGCAACGACCCAATCCTGAAGTTCCCTCTACCCATGCATTCACTTCGCAAGATATCAAAACAGAAAGAACGTTCTCCGGTAAAACCTCACCGGGTACTACACACTTTCTCTTCATAATGACTCAACTCGATGTTTCATCGCTCACGATGGACATTTCGGACGTCAGCTCCACGGTACAGACATCCTGGCTGATGGAACGACTCGCTAGATTTGTCTGTAGCGCCGAGCTTCTCACTGAACACCTTTTGTTGTTATATATTCTATGTATAACAACGTTGTACCTATTCCGATTCAACGTTATTTGGTTGGGAAGTCACTTTTAAACGTAATAATGCAAATATTTGACTTGAACTGATTATCGACCAATGACCTGACAGACAGGAATCATGTTGGAACCCTAAACGAGCCTTGTGTCTGAAAAATGGGAGCTCTGCAAAGGACGGGGATTTGATGCAAAAAACTTACTCGGAGACTGCAACTGACGTCACTTTGGCCGACAAAATCTCGGTCGACAATGGTAAGCACGTGATCATTCTCGCGAATCCACTTCAATATTTGGGTCATATACCACTCGGGCTGATGGGGAATTTGAACACGATTATTCCATATGAATTGTACTTGCCTTACCTTGTCCAGCCGGTTAGTTTTCTTGGAACCGCAAAAGTGATACATGAAACGTCGCTCCAATGAACTCAGGATTATTTGCATCGGCAAAGAGACAACGTTGGAAATCGGTTTCTTAAGTAAAATATTTAGATGACTAAATTCACACTGATGTTAGGGTGACAGGCAATAGTGGGAGTATGTAACCAATATGAAAAATTAACCCATCACGGTACTAAAACAAGGGACAAATGCAGTTTTCATGATCACACCTCGAAGTTGGAAATATTTCAATTTATTCAACTGAATACTTCAGAGGTGATCGAAACTTTTCGGTCGTCCCGTTGTCGCAATACGAAAAATACCGCGATGATTGTTTTTTCAATTGCATAAAGGTGTTAAAAAGGAATATATTGTGACAGAAAAAGATAAAACTTCGCAAACCATCAGCATTATCAAAAAAACGGAAACCAAAACAAGAGCCTGATTGCTTTTGACCATTTGGCATCCGACCCGATTCCGTTCTGGTTGTTTTGCACGCGACAGAGCAAAACACCTCCATACGTGCATTATTTATGATCCTATGACTGCTGATGGAGATTGAATACAGATACAACTGTGTCACAAAATGCAGCCAAAGCCGTCCATCAGCCGCAGTTCTCTATCCTCCCAGAAAGCCTTTGTATCGCCGCAGCCGTTTTTGATCACATGCCTTAATGTGAGGAGAGACTTGCGGCCATCATCATCATCAGCGTACAGCGAAATACAGTTAGGCGAACTTCACTGATCGCTGCCAAACTCGCAATGCATACAAGGTTAGTCAGAAAATTTAAGGGTGGACAGGGATTCAACCTACTTTGAGGGAGAGGGAAGAAGGTGAGCCACTATGGTCAACACACAGAGTATGCATTCGAACTCTGCATACATACCGTTTCAAGCATTCTGACTTGATAAGAAATGACAACAAGAACGGCACTGCTGTCAGTTCGCTGTCATATCCTTCAATGTCTCCAACTAACCAGTTGTGGAGTATTTCCGACTCCAACTTGGAAGGCGCGTGACACCTACTCTACTTAATGGCTTTGTGCATTTTTTCATACCTCGTCTCCACGTGGTTTTCTCCAGCCCGGATTAGCTACAGCGAATAAAGCGCGGTGCGGCANGCGAAGTCTAGCTATCTCAATTGGGTATGCTAGCAGGTTTATACCTGACAGACTCCCAAACACACGACGATTTACCCTTATGTTACTAGCTCGTTCGCTCCATCCAACATGGGCTAAACTACGTAAACACCGATAATTGAAAACTTCCAGTCGACGGATATCTTCTACTCGCAAATTCAGGGTCTCACAAGTATAAAGCAGAACTGAACAAACGGTAGCACAATATCACGGCCTTTCAACTTCAGTGAAACATCGCGTCTACGCCAAAGGTGTTTCAGTCCTGCGTACGCTGCTCGAGCCTTGGAAATGCAGGCGGCTATCTCTTTTGCTGCGCTACCGTAATTGGTCACGCAACTGCCCACGTATGAAAAGTGATTCACTACACCTAATTCCTGGCCGTTTAGTTTCAGAGTGGGAGTAGACGAAACCCAATCCTGCAGCATCACCTCGCACTTTGAAGGTGCGAAGCACATACCGAATGTGGCGAGAACCTGCTGTTCAGTGATGGAAACAGAGCCCCGGGAATCGGAGTGAGGAGCCACATAAGGCCCCGCTGGGTTAGGCCTACCACCTGGAAGTTAATCATAAATTGTTATACTCAATAAACAAAAAAGGAAGTAGAAAAAATTATTTCAAAAAACATTATACACAGTATTTTGAGAGAGTTATCGACGATCTAAGGTCCAACGTTGACCTAAATCTTCTTCAACCTAACACTGGTTATCTGTGGTATTTGGAACAGCTTTTTGTTCAATGACTCTGTATTTGTGTGCTAAACCGTTCCGGAACCTATTTCGACCACTAGGGTTTGAAAACCCTGTCTTTCAAAAACTCAAGAGTGTTTATTTCTTTTTATCTAATCTTCAGATATTGATGACCTAAATTCTGCGTGCACTGCCACCCACGATATATTGTAGCAAAAAACGTTAGTGAGAAATGTAGATTGCAGTGGTGCTGACTTTCATTTTCCACTCTACACTTCAATCCAGATTCAGTGAAACGACGTGAACTGAAAAAAAACCCTACAACAGATAACGTTCGAATGCTTTTTGTGAAAGCAAGCAACTGGTTCCGCAAATGTTGGTGCTTATCAGGTACACATCCTCACTGCTCGTTTGGCTGCTGATTTAACCTCGTTCCTGGAATGACGAGTTCGCCAAGGCTAATAACATCTCATGCACAAAATCAATCTACAATTTGATGGATTCTATTGCAAGCACAATTTAAATCGCAGATGTAGAAAAAGAGATAATGCGAGACTGGATTACCATTTTATGATGAACAAATCCATTTGATTCGCATTCAACTCACAATTACTTGTGAGCAGTGGTGTGGGATCAATGTTATCGATTTGAGCTGACTACCTTTCAAATTTCATCTTTACACACAATCCTCAGTTCATTCGGTTAACCGTACGATTCGGAAACAGTAAACTGTATTCTCGCTCTCCTTAGAGTTCATCAGTAGTGCCTATCCACGGCCCGAGCTTTGAACTCCGAACCCATTGCATGGAAGGAGTGTGTTACCAAGTTCAGTCGGACAGAAAAAAAAATTATCTGCTTCAGCGAGATATTTTTTGATGTCATAGCAATTGGACACGTCGTGGAGCTAATAAAGTAATTCAAGTAGTGAAACGTGAAACCCAAGCTTTTGGCACTGAGCCGAGTAACGGCAATCAAGTTGTGTTATTCCGTTCCTGGTGCAAACGGATAAATCACGGTAGTAGGATTGGTTGTAGAACTGAATTTTTCAAACAATTGTCCGTCAATTGACCGTTTTGTATTGTGCATGATTGGGGCACTTCTTTGAGCCGTAGCAACAAGGAAAATGTTGACACCGCACAGTATTTGTCTTCCGTCCGTTCTAACAAACTGAAACGGCGTGAAGACAGCAAATAGAAAGCAAATGAGCTGAATATAAGCTAATGCCAATAAAAAACAATTTTACCTCCGGACTTTGTGCTCCAGTGTGTCACTGGAGCTTCAAACAGAAATATCTCCTGTGATGCAACACTAGGATGTGGCAGTCAAATCACTGATCAAAGGATACGAGGTTTCAATTGCGGCAAGCAGCTTGAAAGCATTGGTAAAGCCTAGTAATTGTTCATCCTCCCACGTTTGTGAATCCGATTTCTCCAAATAACCCGATGGGACAATTGGAAAACTCATATCTTCCAGAAGCAATTCAAACTTTCTATTGATGAAACACCGAAGTTAATCGAAAAACATGTCTTACGACACAAGTCCCTTGGTCCTGCTTAAACAATTCTCCAAAGAAGCTGTTTCTTGAAGTAGTACTGGTAAGCACTGTTCATTGGACTGTGCCTCACGATAGACGAATTGCAAATAGTCTCTGATCGAGGCGACCAGTACTTCGTCATCGTCCAAGAGACAAGCTGCATCAATGTTTGATCTACGAGAATACTTTAAAGGACAAATCAAATGCGAACCATACTCGTAATAAGCAATGTAGTCCTTCAATTGACTCAAATGCAACTCCGTTTTGGCCTGCTCACATTCATTGATATAGGGCTTCACATGGCGGTAGATATCACAGATAGGTGTGGATAGCTCGTTGAAACGCTTCTCAACTGAATCTATCGAGGAAAGGAACCGTGACGTCCGGTCCGCCAAATCCAGTGCGGCACGATACACCTCAGCAAGACTGCAATCATCCTCAAGTAGAGCCTATTGGGGTAAATTCACGATTAGATAACATCGTTCATACAATGCTTTTCAGCTGATGAATTCGTTTCTCGTAGTGATCGATAGCGGCTTTTAGTTTTCGGTCGATTCGTCCTGGTTGCTTCATTAATTGATTGATCCTTTCAGACAAACGATTAGCCTCGTCCATACCATACAAGCTGTTTATTCTGAAAAAAAATGGAGAAACGAAATTGGGATGACCATGAATTTTGTTCTTTAGTGTTTTCCCAGCATACAGACATTGGCAATGCTGGTGGTGTTCGAATGCTGCCAGTTTAGTTCGGATAGCACAGCGAATAAAACTTTACTTTCGTTCTCTGGAGTTAAGTGATGATAATCGATCTTCTCAACCAAAGAATAAGATTAGGAAAAATAAGAAACAGGAAGGATAGAGAATTTTTTATTACACATCCAGGTGGGGCGAACCCCATAATCACGAAGATGATGGTAACCAGCATCCTAATCCCCGGGACTTGGAGTGGTGCACCACATAAGGCCCCGTTAGGTCAGGCGTGGTATTGAACCAGACGACAGCAAAGCTGCCTGCCATCATTAGACATTAGGAAATTGTATATGCGCACGAACGAAATATAGATCTCGGACATTCTGTTATCCACTTTTTGAGTAATGGCCAGAAAAATTCTCGTGTCAAGCTAAGAAAAAATTCATTTTAGTATCATTAATACATATTGTTATTCTATATGCCCACAGAAAGATAGAGATAGAACATAGAAAGATAGATTCCACGGCGAGGGTGTAACGTGCAGCACTTAGCCTACCGCTGTCACCGATTCGTAATACACGGTAGAAGGTTGATTTCAGGTAACACGATCCGAGTTTCTGGTGCCAATGACGCTGTCAGAATGCCGCTAACAAAACTCTGTTTGAGGTGTCGAACCAACTCGTAAATGCGGCCCAGTACAGACGCTTTCGATGCACAGATAGGAGACCTTCACCTTCTGGGATGAAAAGCAGTAGGGACTTCATCTGTATGAGCTCTCTCTCTTCCGGATCCGGACAAGCTACCCATCAGTTCGTCGCCTGATTAATAGGAAAAACATCCAGTCGCTGTCTGAACTTGTCATCATTTTCCTCTTCCACCATATCCGCCGGGAGAGCTTTCCAAATACTGGTCACTCTCCTGGAGAGACGGAACATTGACGGAAGTCCGGATGACTCCTGCTTCTGAAGCGTGAAACGGTGACCACGAGTGCGTGCATCGTTGCGCAATGGAAACTTATTTTTCAGGTCCTCCCCCTGATCACCGCGGACAATCCTCCTGGTTAGCAGAGTATCACCACGAACGTATCCGTAACTCTCCATGTACACATCCGTAATGAAAAGACGATGGTCATAACTATGTCCTCGTAGTCCCGCAACTAGACGGGTAGCTGTTCGCTGTACACGTTCAATTTTCGCCATCTCCCCTCGTGTGATCGGAAAAGCCGCCGTTTCCCCACACTCCAGACGTGGCATACAGGAGTTTGAAGGCCTTTCTCAACCGCTGTCCGAACGACCGGCGGATTGCACCCAGGATGCAGTAGGCTGAAGAACAAACTTCGTCCGTGTGGCCTCTGGTCTGGAGGGACGATGCGATGATCACCCCTAAGTCCCTCTCATGGTTGCTGCTCCTGAGGAGAACATTGTTTAATGTGTAGATTGGTCTAAGGTCACTGAGACCTATTCTCATGTGTACACACGCGGCAATGTTGATGAGGAGCGTTCACTCCTCCACGCAATCGGATAGTCTATCCAAATCAGCTTGTAAAACAGATGCGTCCAGTGACGATTGAAGTGGTTTCCATAATTTCAAATCATCCGCGTAGACAAGGCATGGTGACTGCAACCAGCTGGGGAGATTGTTGATGTACAACAGGAACAGCACGGAGCCAAGAATTGAACCTTGCGAGACTCCGCTGAGAACTATATACCCAGGGGATATCGAATCACGGATCCTCACCGAAAAAACTCGTCTCTTCAGAAAGTCCTCCACCCAAATGAGTATTGGATTTACCACTCCGAAGCTTCTCAACTTCAAAAGCAGTCTGTCGTGTGGAACTTTGTCGAAGGATTTACTGAAGTCGACACACACAATATCCGTGACTGTCCCACTGACCTTGGCGTCATACCATTCCTCCCTGGTCAGAAGGTTTGAAAGGTAGGATCTTATTGGGCGAAAACCGTGCTGTTGGTAGCACAGCAGTTGGCACTCCGTCAGATGGCGATGCAATCTGCTAGAGACCAAACGTCTCATCACTTTGCAGCAGATGCATGTCAAACTGACGGGACGGTAGTTTGCCGGATCTGCTCCTGAACCACTCTTAAACAGGGACGATATCAACGCACTCTTCTAATCCACTGGGAATCGAACATATTTGAGGGAACTGTTGAACAAGGCACAGAACGGGGCCGATATCACGACCGCAAGCTCTTTAAAACACCTTGGGGTGCAGTCCATTCGGACCCGGAGATTTATTTGTGTTTGTGTTCTCCAGAGCGACCTGGACTTTACATGGGTTGAACTCCGGAATCGCCAAGTGGATGAGCTAGGATCCTGAGTATGCAAGCCGTCAGGCAATGGCTCCTCTGACTGATACACAGTTGGATAATGCCGTACGAATGTCAGCCTGTTCTCCTGGGTCATCCTTTAGCGTTACCTGATCCAAAAGTGGAGTTAGAGCGGTTGGAACCCCTGTTCTCCGTCGAAGACAAGCGAAGAGCCTCTTAGGCATGGCAGCAGTGGTAGCTACCAAGTTGTCCAAGTTGTGTTCTCTAAACGCAAACAAACCACCCGGTCCGGACGGTATTCCACCCATCGTCCTCAAAATGTGCTCCTGAGCTGGCCCCTGTTTTACGTCGTCTTTTCCGTCTTTCTCTCCAACTTTCTTCCTTTCCAACCCCCCTGGAAACACGCCGTGATTTTTCCCATTCCCAAACGCGATGATCCTTCTAACCCCAACAACTATCCACGCCAACAATGATGAACTCTTCGACTTCTTCGCGCATTCAGTTTACTGTTTCTGCAAACACTATACCGTACACATACTCGCGTCCTCCCAGCCCTCCCCCATCACACATCCGCCCCCGTCACCCACC